AGTAAGGGGAACATCGTGTAAACTTTATAAAAATCTATCAACAGATTCACACCAAAACAATATAGAGTCCTTTCTAGGAGATCTATAACACTGCAGATGTTGGCAGTGCTTGATAAATTGACAGAAGTGTTGGATGTGGGTTTATCGATAAACTATTTATTTAGATTATAATTTTTTTTATTAAACGCTGTTCTGCACAAAATGCTGAAAAAAAGCTTGTGCCATACAAATTCTCTAATGAGATTCTATTTTGGATCTTTGGAAGAGAACGCTAAGGCTGGAAGTAAACGGGGAGCAGTCTGAATAGACAAAAGTATAGGCAGGAATCCTCAAGGAGCCATTCATAGATCAATACTGTGTTTAATGTTTGTGAACGAGGTTCCGGACTGGGTGAGCTCGTCTATATTCCTTTATGCTGAAGCCACCAAAATATTCTAAATCATTAATAGAAAAGAAGAAGAAGAAGACAAGTCAATGTTACAATGAAGCAAGAAATGGCTATTGCAAGCACATCAACAACAACAAAAAACCACCACATGCGTATTGGAAAAACCTTCAAAGGAAGAATAAGTCATATTCCATCAATAAAGTTGTCTGGCATAAACAGAACCGGAGAAAGATATCGGCATCACATTACATTCTAACATCTTACCTGTCGACTGACCAGAGGAGATATGACGAAGTATATAAGATATGATCGGGAAACCAACAGCATCCGAAAGCCATGGGCTAATGTGACCCATTTTTAGTAAGAGAGGAAACTCGAAAAACATACTATTTCCACAATGTTTCACACAGAACGTTCCTCACTACTACACGTAGTAGTAAATATATAGAATAACTTATCAGAGGGTGTATACGTAGTGACTTCACCAAACACATTCCAGATAATTTGATTTTGGCTATGTTCCCAATAGTAGACTTTTACATGTTATACATGTATATTATATTATGAAAAACAGACAACACAAAAAGTGATGACGTTGTACACCGGAATGTTTGGCCTGGTATTTGTAACTCTACATGTAACTCTGATTGATTGAAGCTACAATTCCTTGGCGATAACATTACTGTACAATGCTGTGTGCAAAAATATCTTTTTATCAGAAATGAATAAATATTCACTACACTGTAACTATGAATTAAAAATATGTTTTCTGAATGTTTAAATAAAATTTTATGGGATAATCAGAATTATTGTACACAATAATTCAACAAAACTTACCCGTTGCAAGTTTCAATAATGAAACCTACTGCAGCGAGGAACAGAATAGCACTTATTCCCATTGTCACATACAACGGCTAAGTGGGTAGAAACGCCGCCGATGGTGTATTTAAAGGCTTTCTATTAAACGTCGATCAATAGTTGAAACTCTTACAAATAATATCCTGCCAATTTAACTTGACGGTTAAATTTCAAAATACCAATACTTCCTCATTGATAAAGACTTTTGGTGCACAGGTAAACAGGGACATGGTACTTCGTAATGTGTTTAAGAGATAACATCCAAGTGGTACATGTATTATACCGTTAAGCTTTTCTTATGGATATTTATTTTCACTTATTTACTAGCGAAATTTTCAATACGTGTCAAATATGTCCATTGCAAAATGTCATTTATGGGAAAGTGATGTTACCGTTGCCCTTTACATCCCCCCACCCCCCCTTCCTTCTTATATTGAGGGCAACTCCACTCCCCCCTCTCCCTGTTGCCTTAATTAGTAACTACAATATTCAGGATGTCCACATTTTCAGTAGTTGGACTTAAGTGTTTGTCATACTTATTATATTAGTTAAGACGCTTCGTTTGGGGGACTTAATTAGACAAAATAAATATATGGTGTCGTTCATGAGATTACCTTATCAAATTACTGACTAAACTTATCATTACTGATCCGTTCAAATTTATATTAACGTCGAGGACAATAGAGAAATCTTTATGATGTTTGTTGTTGTTGAGACTCTTACTTCGAATGTTTTTGAAAACTTCAATGAGATGATTCAAACTGAATGTCAATAAGTAATGGTTTCTGCACAATAAAACAGGATCACCGAGTCATGCCATGTTTTCAGGTAGACGTGACACATATATAGCAACCTTCATCGGTCATTTGGAATTGCTTCAAAGCGGCTTATAACATAGCTTCGTTGTCACAAAGGCTTACAAACAGAAATTGATTTTCCCCTGATAAGACGAGAGCTTTAAGCTTGCAGTTTAGTCAGTAACACGACGGGGAAATTCTTAAAGATAGATTCAATGTTGTAATAGATTTTGTTTAGAATCTATGGTTTGCTACAGTTTACAGTGAGATAGTTAAGAAATAACCAGGATTTGTTGGGGGTTATACAGTATATACCAATAAAACCAATAATAAAAAATAATCTGCGAATGCATCAAATGCACATGTTAGGAAGAAATCAACGACACGATGTCCTTCTTATTTACTCTATTGGTAAAGAAAGATGACGGAACAGTGAAGGCATTGATCTAAAGATAAAAAAAAAAACCATACGGACCAGTATCTGATATTTCGCCGTCTGTTGTACTAGAAGTTTGGCATGGTACGCATGTTGTTACAGAACGAGCAGGACAAACAATCATAGCAGAATTACATCGCTTGGGCAACGAAAACATGTGGATTTCCGGAATGGGCCCTCAAAGGGGTACATAAGCACTGTCAAAGTAAGAGGAAGGGCAAGACAATGCAAGTCACGGATAAGGATAAAATGATAGGTCAGGTCGTCGTCCCGTTTATATCTGAAACCATTCAGAGAATGCATAGCGGTCATGACATACTGTACCAGCTTCGAACCCCTGCAAGAACGCTTCGTACAAATAACCAAAGAAAACAGTAGCAGAATGCGTGCACAGAATCGAATACAAGAATTGTGGCGTATCGTATATCGGAGAAGCTGGATGGCGATTTGGTATCTGACTAAAATGAGTCAACACCGGAAAGATACGGAACCCCAAGAGAGAAAGAAATTTACCAGAAACGAGAAGTAGGAGTCCCAGATCAATGCATCGGTAATCACATATCGTGCCACACAGCAAACTCATGTCATTGATTGGGATAAATCCAAAGTACTGGACTGAGAGAGCAATCATTTCAAGTGGAAGATACAATAATCCATGTGTATACACTGCAGCGGGCCAGTTCCGAATCGAGATGACGGGGCTCATAGACTCTCGCACATTATAAAAATTGCATTAAACCAAGAGTAGCCGAATCGATTATTCGGTTTTATTCGTCATTTCGTACATGTAAAACAACTAAGTCCCGATTTTACAGACATAAGTTTACACATTTTGTGTACATACACTTCATTGGTCATTGTCTAATGGAGGTGGCAGTATTAATAAATTTGTTCCATACTAGTCACAGAAACGTCATACATACATACGTAACTGGTTGTGCTATACGAACCTTTCTACACACCATACTTACCAAACCGAAGAAAATGTTTAGAAGCAAGTACCAATGTTTTAAATATCGCGCCCAAACTAAATCCCAGATATGAGGTTCTACCAATATACACTGTAGTTTGACTATATGCACAGTGTACAAAGATCGGTCAATATCCAGAGTATGTGTGCACTTCCGATTGATTGTATACTACTGTATGTACATGTATATTTGCGATTCCCTTGAGATATCAACACTGAACACGTACACAATGTATAACTGTACACGTACATTTACCATCCTCTTTCGTTTATAAAACTAAACTCAATCTTAAACTTGTGTTTTGTGAAAGATAACAGAGATTTTTAGCAGTTAATTCGTGTAATAGTTCCCTTAAGGATATTTAATCTATATCAAATTATTTTTTTGACGATGAATAGCGTATGGTCCCTATATGATGTCTGGTTTGGTTTTACATGTATTAGGTTTAGCGTACAGGGCGTAGCTAGCCCTTGTTCGGAGTTAATTAATTTAGGTCCAGGTCTAGGGCAGGGTCTTGGTAGGGGTACAAGAAGTTGTAACAAGCAGTATTTTTGTTATGTTTTCGTTTTTCTGTATTAAAATTTGGCACATTCACCTGCTTATCAGCGCATATGAAGGCAGTTACGTGCCTGACGTCCTATTGATAGATAAGTCATTGATGTAGTAAATTATAAATAGTGATATTTTACATGTTTAATCTGAAAAACACTGTATATTTTGAACCTGCAGAACTGATGTCCAAACCCAGCATCTCTGATCACTTCACGGTCCCGCTAACCAACTAATCAGCATTAGCAACCTGGTCCTGTACCACTGACACTCCTGCTTTTTAGAATCTTTGCAAAGACGTCATGTAAATACCACCCTTTTATTTGTTCAATTGTTTGGTTTTATATCAGGCTAGCTGTGATTACTGACATGGCCCCTCCGTGTATTAGTGTACCCGTGCATACTATCATAGTAATAGGGAGCCGTTTTGGTATGTTATATATTAAATCTGACATATAAGATAGTCTGATATATCGTATTGTATATCATATCAAAATTCCTGCTTAAATATGAAATATGTTTGTCACCAATTCGAATTTCATATCATTGAAAAGAAATTGTGACATAATCCTTATTGATTTTATCATGAAATATAGGTTTATTTTGTGACATCAAATAATCGAAATCATGTTATCACAAAAAAAAAAAACAAGATCATATCACATATTCTTAATTTGCTATATATGACCAGGGATAGTATACGTCCCTGATATGACGCCCTGCATTCCTGCTTGTCAGTAAAAGGATGGCACGGGTATAGGGTTGTACAATGTACTTACAATTATACTTACATGGAAGACGTTTCTAGATATCTGCAACAATCTTGTAACTTACACAGTGTTAAGTCTATATAAATATTTAACCAGAAAGATAAGCTTTTTTTTTTATGTATTTCACAAATGGAAGTATAATGCATTAATGAAGTCTTTGGAGTGGATTGAAAATGCTGAACTCTTTTTAGAAGTAGACTGGTTCCTGATTTGGGTCACCATAACGTCGCTTCCGGTGTAAACACTGGGGAAAAAGAGGTACCGCTAAGCATGAGGAGTGCGGTAACGGGAGCAGTGTAGTCAAGAACCATGCGTGTCAACACAGGGAGGGTAGACATTTTCATCCTATCTGAACACGTCTTTAAATTTTGTGAAAACTTGCAATATTCAAGACTTTTTGAGTTGTCTGCAGTGACTTCAACAATCAAGGATTGTCGACTTTCTGTTTCCCTGTTTCTTGCAAACATGGTTAGTTCACAGGCACTAGCATCGTCTGTCAATACACCCATACTATAAACCTTGCTTATTGTTTATAGTAAGGATGTATTGACAAACGAGGCTAGTGTATGTAAACAGTGATCATTACATAATTAATATAATACACAGTGTACTGTCTTAGCGCTGCGACGAATCACCAAACGGACCGAAACGGTCCGAAACGAACACAAACGGAGTCGAAATGGAAACCATAAGCTATTTAAAGGGAATTCAATACAGTTTAGATTGTGTGTGAACAAAACGGACCCCGATCGGAACCGAAACGAAAGTGTAAATGTTTTTTTTTTTTGTACATTTGAGCTGTGTTTCTTTATTTGTCGTGTAGACCTTTATATTGTGTATATTATATATGCCAAATACATACAATAATGCATGTATATATGTAATATAAATACAAGCACATGACTATAGATGTTCATACATTAGAAAGGCAATTATATCATAATGCAGTGACGGGACCGAAACGAAAGGCATACGATTATTCCAAGCGAATTGAATTCATTTGAAAACAGAAAACACTTTTGAATAATATGTGTGACCGTTTAAAACGAACAGAACCAAAACTGAACCGAAAAGAAACGTATTTAAGGGTATTAAATGTGGTGATTTCATCACTCTTTGTGACCGAAACGGATGTAAACGGAAAAGTAATATCTGAAGTTATTTAACGCAAAGTTAAAACCCATGTGAATGATGTGTTTGACCGTTTATAATGAAAAAAAATAAAATGTATGCAGTTAATTATTTTAAAGGGTATTCAATATACATTTGATCACTGCGTTTGGCCAAAACGAACCTAAAACGAAACAAGAAAAGATACACCAAGTTTTTTTAAAGAGTATAAAATACATTTGAATGCGGTGAGTGAATGAAATGGACCAAAACGGCACCAAGAAGAAATACATTCTGTTATTTAAAGCGAATTAAAACACTTTTGAATAATGCATATATATATGTGTAAGCGTTTAAAACGAACAGAACCAAAAATGAGCCGAAAAGAAACGTATTTTAGTTTAAACATATATTCTATTAAAAAAAAAAAAATGTCTTAGATGTAAACGGAGCAGTGTTTTGTTTTACATTCGTGATGCACCAGGAGAGAGAACAAAATGGTTCTAGTTAACAATCTATCCCAATCCCACTGATGGTCAGCAATATTTCCTCCTGGGTATTGATTTGTACTCACATGTTTGTCAAATGATTTTATAACTGAATTTTTAAAAACTGAAAAGAATATGGGGAAGGGGTCGAAGGGTATTATGGCTTACATAACTTTCCAATTATTATATCTATCCAGGGGTTTAGGGTTTACATGGTACTGTTGTACCTTTTAGGTCAATTTAAAGGACCCGTTCACCATCAAAACAGTGTGTACGTTTTTCCTTACTACCACTTTCAAATTCCTGATTGGGAAATCTAAAAGTAAAATGCATAAATTTAAATTAATTCAACAGTCAAAATAATGATTATCCAGAGATGTATTTATATGTCTCTGGATTGTCCAATATTTTCAATGTTGATGATATTTCTCTATTTCATCTTCTCCCAGGGTCTCTGTTTCTGAAACCCCCCTGATGAACCACTAGCTTCTACCTTTAAGAATATGTTTGATTTCAAATATCATTTTCAGCTTATCCTTTACATGTACAAAAAAAGTGTTGAACTCTATTTTTCAGTGTTTGCTGCCTTTGCTTTGGTTCATCCAAATAATTTCTGCTGTGCAAGGTAAGAACACAGTGTTGTTGATACAACATGCAGTTCATTTTGCTTGTTACATGCATGTTACATGTTACATTTTGTATAATAAAGAGCAATTAGATGACATCATATTTTTCTGATGAAATTATCCAGTTTTAAAGACAAAATACAAAGAATGTATTTCAGCAGCACTTGTGTTAGGTGAAATCAAATTTGTCCCGAGACTCACATACCTAAACATTCCAAAATCTAATAAGAAAAACAATATCTCGGAATAATAGCTAGCTCAAATCACACATGTTATTATTTTCAAAATGGTTTCTCAAGTTATTGATGAATGGTTTTGAATGGATTCCTTCAGCATTTAAAAGTTTATTTTCACCTGTATTTTTAAATTTTGATTATTTTATCTTAGACTTCCCAGCCTTAGACCACATCAGAACAAGGACCTCTGCTTCTACCCAGACACATGCATCACAGGCCCTGATTGGTCGAATTGTTGGCAAAAGAGCCAATGAGTTTACAGCACATGTTCAACCAGATCTTGGTCCTAAAGATAGAGACACATTTAAGGTAAGTTGTGATAAATGAAAATTTCTTGTCTATTGTTTCCAGTTTTTCTCTGTTGTAATTAAAGTCTGTCCAATTGCATTGTCTAATCAGATTTCAAGATTCATAAGTGTAAAACAAGATGTCACATATATACAGCAATCAATACACATGTAGGAAAACAATAACAACGATTGGAGAAGATAAATATATACAAGTATTTAAGTATTCTTTTTTGTTTTTTCTAAAATTCTACTAATATGTGGCATAACATAAATATTACACTGATAAAATAAACCTTTTATCTTTATTTTTCGGGATATGTATGCATATGCTAGTATTAATGATTATTTTACAGTTCGCATCAGAGCTTACAAATGAGCTGTAACGATTCCATCACTGATTAAACCGATTCTCATTTCAAACAGATTTAACAGATACAATTTTATTTGCTTCCAGATTTGGTCATCTGGTTCTTATGTCAATATTACCGGGACAACTGGAGTGGCAGTTGCCATGGGACTGTATTACTACTTGACCAATCACTGTGGGTGTCAGTACACATGGGCAGGGCAACAGATGAACATCCCATCTCCCCTACCCAAGGTTCCTGCCCCAGGGATTAAAGTGACTACCAATGACAGGTATTGCTTGGTCATTTACTATCAATAGATAATCTTTGTTCTGTACTGGCTTCAGTTCTGTGGTTTGGACAGAACTTTACACAACCATTCAGTACACAAATACATTGTACTGAGTACATGTGATATCCCCTGTTTTATTTGGTTTGTTGTCTGTATGTTAACCAGGTTCCGGTACTACCAGAATGTGTGTACAGTAGACTACTCGTTTGTGTGGTATAACTGGACCGACTGGCAACAACAGTTGGACTGGATGGCTCTACACGGAATCAACATGCCACTGGCCTTCACTGGACAGGAGGCCATATTTCAACAGGTCAGGAATATAATTAATTTGCATGAAACTTTTGAATACTTAAATCTTATTTGATTTATATATGTATGTATCAGATGTATTAGAGGTACATTTTGTGGATACAACAGCTTCACAAACCACATTTTCCATAAATGTTCAAAATATCTATTCAGTTTGTTCATGTTTTGCTTACTTACTGTAATTCAATTATAAAATGTGGTTTGACTACGACCAGCACCAATGAGAACCTTTGGCAACTTAATTCTGGATAATTGTTAAAGGTTTACAACTAACTATACAAACATATCTTTCAAAACCTAAATGAAACTTGTCAAATTTTAGATCTCTGAATTTACTTCAGAGTCTGCAGACACATTAAAGATGTTGGAAGTACTTGAAAAATAATAACATTCAACTGTATTGTGAGTAATTTAAACAAAAAGGCCATTATGATGTTGATAATTGCAGGTGTACATGGAAATGGGACTCACTATGAAAGAAGTCCAGGATCACTTTGCAGGTCCAGCTTTTCTTGCCTGGTAAAATATTAAAGAATCTATCAAAAGATCACACTTTCATTTGTACATGTACCTCCCTTCATATCCGGGTATCCAGACTCATGATAATTAAACAAATTGAATTTGCAATCTGTCCATATTTCTGTTCTTAATTTTTTTTTTTTAAATGGGAGAGGAGAAGAGTTGGTTTTAGGGTTAGGAACCAAGTCCTTTTAGTGAAGAAGTACACAACTATGTAACTATGATACCAGCCAATATAGTTAACGATGAGTTATCTCCCCATTATATGAGTTTTTCCCAGAGGATGCCTGCAGTGTAGGTTACAGAAATCAGTAAATAATTGGTTTTACTCCAACCCCAAACAAACAAACTCATGTACATGTAGTTCATGTCATCTGGTAAAATTTGAATATTAAAATGAATTTCTGCAATTTAACAAGACGGCTAAGACAGCGGAACTTGGTGGACTAATGTGTCTGAATATATAGGTATAGTTTCTCCAGCTATCGTATGTGTTATCTCCCCTGACAGGTCAAGAATGGGTAACATGCATGGTTGGGGTGGACCACTACCTCAGTCCTGGATTAATCAGCAGTTGGTCCTACAGCACAAGATCCTTGACCGGGCCAGGGAGCTTGGAATGATTCCTGTCCTGCCAGGTTTTGCTGGACATGTCCCTAGTGCCATCACAAGGTAAATTGATGTATATAGATGTGATGACACTGTACCTTAGACTTGTGTGGTAAGGAATTAGTATATTTTCTACTGACTCACTGTAATACTGTTAGTAGAAAGAGGACAACTTTTTAAATTTGCAAACACAGATTCACCATCATTAAGGATGTCTGATGTTTTCTCTGTGACAATGTTTATGACCATGCCAATTATAAAAGGAATGATTTTTGCAGTGATTTTATTTTGTGGTATTATGGCAGTAGGTAAAAATAACAAATTACATACTCTTGTGAACCATTCTGTTTCAACCTATATGAACATGATGTCTATATTATAGAAGAAAAATCAATTAAAATATCCATATTTAAATGTTTTATCCAGAAACAGAGATGTGATTAAACATTTTATCCTGTTATAAACTTCACCTTAAACATAGCCGAATCATTTTGAAACCACCAATTTGACAATTGGTATGTACATTATAGTTTGTTGTCATGAGTGTGCCATTTCCACCTGTTATGCAGTGTTTAAGGCAGAGTTATATCTAATTAAAACATGTTAAGTTACATTGCCGTTCCAGTTTATGTTAGTAGATGTATCTTAAAACCTTCATTTTCGACGTTACAGAATTTTTCCAAATGCAAATGTGTCCCATTTACCTGACTGGGGTCACTTCAATTCCTCGTTCTGCTGGTAAGTAATGTTAATTAATCTATTACTGTACACCAAATCTGTTATGATGATGGTTGTAGGAAATATCTCACATTATATTTCATCTGTAAAAAAAGTTCTCCAGACATTAGTATTATTTCCTTGCAGTATTTCTGTTTTTATAAGAACTCATTATCAAGCAATTTGTATAACTATGTAATCAATGCAGGTACAATTTGGACATGAACATGTGTGAATTTTCTTCTCATTTATTGTATGCATCTACTTTTTCCCTCAAATACTGGTGCCTAGTAATTATAGTTACTGTATTACTGTTTCTTTTTTCTTTTTCATGGCAAACAGAACATATATCAAGATGTAGATTATAATCAGTTTCACTGTTTATGTTCATGTTAATATTGATAAATATTTTGCCTGATGAATTTTCATAACATGTATAAATTCTGTCGTTTTGTGCCTCTTCAGTAACTTACTGTTGGACTTTAGCGATCCTCTGTTCAAGAGGATAGGACATGAAGTGGTGAAGGAGGTGAGGTCACTTCACTGGTCAATACCAATATACATATCATAGCTACCGGGCACAGCTGACCGGCATAATACACAAGGTCATGACCTCCTTATGTTTTACATTTTGGATAGTTCATCTCAAAGGTCTGTCTCAGCTGTTGTAGCAATGCTAATTTTATAGAGAAGATACATGTATTTATGGGAAGATGGTGTATATTCAGGGCGACTTTTATACAAACTAATGTGAAAGTATCTTAAATGATTAATTTCCCATTGTAATTGCATAAAATCTTGTAGATGAGAACACATTATTGAATCGGTTTAATGAAATGATAAATCTGCTAATTTATAGGAAATGTTTTAATTGTCGTGGAATACTTTCAGATGCTAAATGAGTTTGGTACAGACCATGTATACAACATTGACACTTTCAATGAGATGCTTCCAAAGTCAAGGTATGTGTATTTAGTGACATTAAATATGTATATGTAAACTGATCATTCCTACCTTAATGCACTTATAATTGGTCATCATTTCTGTATTTTGCTTATTTTACCTTTTTTTCAAAAAAGGAAAATGCTATAATTAAGTCTGACATAAAAGTATGTTGTTTTATGGTTTTAATTTATCTATCTTCTAAATATGTAAACTTTGCCTTGGTAGGTTCTGTGTATGTTCAATGTTGATGTATGTTTTAGCTCACCAACCTACCTTGCTCAGTCAGCAAAGACTGTTTTTGAAGCCTTGACATCTGCAGACCAACAGGCTGTGTGGTAAGAATAAATTCAAATATCCTTTACCTTTGACTGTATAGATTAAATACTAATTCTATATGGATTAAATTCACTACTTGTATCATAACTGCTAACATACCTATTAATTAACGGACTAATAACCTTTAATGGCCAAACTCAACTTCTGGCAATACATTTTCATGTTTTTAACAAATACATTGTAATAATTAATGGCCATTAAGTCATTATTATATTGATAATTCAAATATTTTCATTTAAAAGTTTTTAAAAATTACATGGCCATGAAAACAAATTTTACTGTAAGTTACAGTAATGGTCATAAAGTGGTAATTAATAGCTATGACTTTTTCAAAACCTTGAAAAAGAAATTAATTAAGCAAGGTTTCCAGGAAAAATGACAATGTAATAGTAACTACAATTTTTAAGAAATAAATGTGATTTGCCAAATATTTCAGATTACAGTTTATAGCCGTTTTAATGGACATGATGCAATTTAATGTGGGTATATGGGATAAGATTGGAAGTTGGGTATACCTGGATCAGACTTCTTATCGGTGTATACATTTGATGTTTTAATGATTGAGCGACAGTATTATGTGTATTATCATATGTTAAAAAAAATAAGCTGTAATTTGAGAAATACTGTTTAGAATGATGTAATTTTGATATATACAGTAATATATAAATGTATATATACAAATGTACAAGATTCTTTTTTGGTCAGCTGTGTTATTTAGTGTTAGTCTTCCATTCATTTTTTGGTATTTGTAGGTTGATGCAGGGATGGATATTTGAGAACTCTGTGGATTTCTGGAAATCTCCACAAATAAAGGCAGTGGTAACAGCTGTTCCTAAAGTAGGTCTGCATTGGCCGACTTATCTGTTAATTGGCAGACTGTTTTGACTGACTTACCTGCTAATTGGCCTACTGCTTTGACTGACTTACCTGTTAATTGGCAGACTGTGTTGACTGACTTACCTGTTAATTGACAGACTGTTTTAACTGACTTACCTGTTAATTGACAGACTGCTTTGGCTGACTTACCTGTTAATTGGCCTACTGCTTTGACTGACTTACCTGTTAATTGGCAGACTGTTTTAACTGACTTACCCGTTAATTGGCAGACTGTTTTGACTGACTTTCCTGTTAATTGGCCTACTGCTTTTACTGACTTACCTGTTAATTGGCCTACTGCTTTGATTTACTTACTTGTTAATTGGCAGACTGTGTTAACTGACTTACCTGTTAATTGCCAGACTGCTTTGACTGACTTACCTGTTAAATGACCGACTGTTTTGACTGACTTACCTGTTAATTGACAGACTGCTTTGGCTGACTTACATGTTAATTGGCAGACTGCTTTGGCTGACTTACCTGTTAATTGGCAGACTGTTATGACTGACTTACCTGTTAATTGACAGACTGCTTTGGTTTACTGACATGCTTATCGGCATTCACAGTGTTTTGAGATACTTATACATTGTTTTTTAGTATCTTGTCTTAAAGCAAACTCATTATATTGTGGTGCTTATCTAAAATATAAATTCAAACCTGTTTTATAAAGGCCACCCAAGGGAGGTAACACACTTGGTTTGGATAGACGGGTTGCCATTACATAGAAAGTTCACTTTTAGTATTCATATTAAGATTCTAGTTATATAGACCGGTCTTAAGGCAATTAATACTGACCTACCTGTTATAGATGTGTTCATTCTTTGGTATTACCACTTTATTGGTAGGCCATCTATGTTACAGGGGAGGATGATAATCTTAGAGCTATTTGCAGAGAATCGTCCGGTGTACCGACATACAGAATCCTACTTTGGACAGCCGTTCATATGGAGCATGCTGCACAACTTTGGAGGGACGCTGGAACTGTACGGCAGCTTTGACAGCATCAACACTGTAGGTTATTTGTCGGAATTTTGTATTTGTCATTAATTCTGTAAGGATGCTGCAGGTTTTTCTGATTTAAAGAAAATTCAATTTTACATGTCTTGTAGATTGTTGCTCTTTAACCCTGTTTTATATAACTACCTTATTATTGTATTTACATTTTTCTAAATATACAATTGTATTGTTGTCCATTGACTTACATAAAAACTAATCTTTCTTCATTTGTATGATTATTAAAGGCGTTGTGCAACTACTAGGGAAACGATAGTGATCTTTGTACTTGATATAATGTAGGGTCCAGCTGCTGGTCGGAATTTCCCAAATAGCACCATGATAGGGATCGGAATGGCTCCTGAAGGGATCAATCAAAATGAAGTTATTTATGAATTCATGGCTGAAAATGCCTGGGTCCCTCAGCCTAGAGGTGTTTCTCAGTGGTAAGTAATCATGTGTCATTCATATATTTAATGATGTATAAAACTGGTATTAAAATTATAACCACATTGAACGCAAAAAATGTATAACATAAATGTCGTAATATGAGAATGATATATGGAGGGATTATTTTAATTTTAAATGTATTTGCCAATTATTTTTTAATTTAAAATAATAAGTGCTATGTCATCCCTAGAATTGATAATGACAGCTGATAATTTTTTTTTTCTATTTGCAGGGAATTAATAGACAAAACATTAATTTTTTAAATTGTTTATAGATAAGTCTATTTGAAATTTGGTGGATGTGGGAGTGTTCTATTAAACGTTCTGCTCAATTCTGATTTTATTAAATATTTGTTCTAGATACTGTTATGTATTTGGTAGTAGATAATTCATTTGATGTATAGAAACGAAGTTACTTTTAAAAAGAATACACTGTCGGAGAGTCAACAGTTCAACAAATTTTATGATTATCTCCCTTAGAACATATATAAACTTGTACTTCAAACTGATGCATCTTGTGACCAAATAGATGTAATTCAATATGTAGACATACAGTGTTTTTACATATATACCTATAAAGTTATGACACAACATGATATAATCAGTTAAACAACCTTAAAAGTTGAACTGAATGTGTAGGTTTTATTCATAATTATTAACGTCAGTAAATTATAGCCATTATGTTACATAGTACACAATAGTGTTTTGTGAAAGGAACATTTTAATCATATAATTTTTGTGTATTTTTATATGAACATGATTTTACTTGACAGATTTTGTCTGAAATTAAAAGGAAATTAAATATTTCAACATTTCATCTTTGGTTTACTTATCATTTTATGATATATGTTTTAGTTAAATTAATCTATGTATGATATTAATATTTGAGGGTGGTGGAGTATGCCAGACGAAGATATGGGAAATCTAACAAGTACAGCTCAAACGCTTGGCAGCTACTACGGGTAATGTCTTCTAGGTTTTATTGGTGAAACGGACATGTATCTTGTCTTTCTAATTATCTGTACATGTGTTCATATAATTTCTTGAGAGAAATGTCTGTGATTGATTATTTGAATTTGCATGAGAAAATAACCCGAAAAACTTAACACCACTTTTAGTATAAAGTAAATTGCTTTTCTTAAACTTTACTAATGGTTTTGTTAATGTAATGTTTTGTTGTTTTTCTTTATTTTCTTCATTTATAATGATCATTTAGAGAATCGTCTGTAAGTAATGGTTTTGACATGTATTTTTCATATAATTTTACATGAGAACATGAGTGATACTTAATTACGTTGCCAAGTAACTAATTGTTAGACATATTAATTACCTTCTTGGATGCAAGTTTTACTACATGTATATAAACATCCATTCTATAAATCTTTTTACTATTTTTATTTTGTCTTTGTTCCAATTTCCCAGAAAAGTGTATACAATAATACAGATGGACTTAAGGATAAAAGTAAACATGTAATACCGACGTCTCGCCCCTCCTACCATCCACGACTGGCTCCCGACGTAAGTCTTGACATCTCACTTGATGTGTAATCTTCAGGGTGTAATGTTATCAATGTGTTATTACAAAGACCTTGTTCTCCATGTCATCAACATCTTAATATAAAGTAGCATCATTTGTTTGCCTTCAATTTGTGTACAGTCTGTAAATGTGATAGAATATGTATCAATGCTCGGCTTTGAGTGTAAATGTATAATATATCATGCCACATATCATCATCATCTGTAGTAGCTACATTTGTACATGTGTGTTTGTCTAAATTCTGTATACAATCTATATAATGTTTCCTTCATGCTCAGCTTCAGGTGTATATACAAATATTTCATTTTTTTTAATTATTTCATTATTAACAGTAAGGTTACAATGTACTGTAGGTTTGGTACGACCCCGAGGATCTGTATATTAACAGTAAGGTTACAATGTACTGTAGGTTTGGTACGACCCCGAGGATCTGTATATTAACAGTAAGGTTACAATGTACTGTAGGTTTGGTACGACCCCGAGGATCTGTATATTAACAGTAAGGTTACAATGTACTGTAGGTTTGGTACGACCCCGAGGATCTGTATATTAACAGTAAGGTTACAATGTACTGTAGGTTTGGTACGACCCCGAGGATCTGTATATTAACAGTAAGGTTACAATGTACTGTAGGTTTGGTACGACCCCGAGGATCTGTATATTAACAGTAAGGTTACAATGTACTGTAGGTTTGGTACGACCCCGAGGATCTGTATATTAACAGTAAGGTTACAATGTACTGTAGGTTTGGTACGACCCCGAGGATCTGTATATTAACAGTAAGGTTACAATGTACTGTAGGTTTGGTACGACCCCGAGGATCTGTATATTAACAGTAAGGTTACAATGTACTGTAGGTTTGGTACGACCCCGAGGATCTGTATATTAACAGTAAGGTTACAATGTACTGTAGGTTTGGTACGACCCCGAGGATCTGTATATTAACAGTAAGGTTACAATGTACTGTAGGTTTGGTACGACCCCGAGGATCTGTATGAAGCTTGGGATAATTTAGTGTTAGCCGCTGACCAGCTCTGCAACAACTCACTATCCATGTAGGTTATGTCTTTTTTTATTTTCAATGGGAAATTTTATCATCAGAAGAAATGATAACACTGATCTTCACAGCTTGTTGGACTCTGATGTCCGAGGATGGTTGGATACCAGCAAACTGCGTTCTCTTTGGTGTCATTTCATGAAGATGTTGCAATATAACTGTGTAATAACATGTTAAATTATGTCTCTGTAAAACAAAAGGATCAGATTTGCTGGGTGTCTTTCAGTCTGTCTGTCTGTACACACAAGTTTGTCTGTAGTAACCCTTAGCTTTGGCTTACAGTACTTCTATAGATACTTCTGGGAGATCCGTTCTGTCTACAGAGACACAATTACTGGTGTGATAATAAGTGTTTGTAATTCACTACTCAAACATAAATACTGTACGTTCATACAGTAGGTTTAATATGTTGGATCAATAGAGAGAAGTCACTTGAAATATATGAAACATATGACTATAGACAAGTTCTTATTGTTTAGAAATCCTTTGTTATTAAAAAAAAGAATAATTTTGATATTGTGGGAATAAATAATTTAAATATTAATTTACATAATGAAAACTTTGACCATTCATTGTCGATTTTTGACACATCTTCTGACACATGAATTGTTCTGGTAAAATTCATGGTACACTCAGCTAACCCATTAACAGGTATGATCTGGTGGATGTCACGAGGAACAGTCTTCAGGAGATTTCTCTGTCCTTCTATAACTCACTCATATCAGCCTTCACCCACAAAGATTTTGATCAAGTCAGGTAACAAATAAAATCCTGATCAATGTGGTACCTAAAATTTGTTTCTTTACAAAATATCCTAATCCAGTTAATTAACTTTGTGTCTCGTTCTGTCTCAGTTGTATGAAAAAGAAAGTAATGTATTTTTTTTCATTCAAGAGATCGTTATTTAAGAACAGAATAGTGTGGAAAGCAGCATTAATAAACCGTTATGGATTTATTGTAATTTTTCCTTAATTATAAATGACAATACTAACGTTGATATAATGTTTTCATAGTGACTTTTGAGTAAACAATGATCTGCTGAATATTTTTCAGTATTGATATTTTTTGTTTGTGATCTTAACAGTTTAATAGGAGATAAACTGCTGGGCCTCTTGGCTGACATGGATATATACTCCTGGGGTCAAAAGGTCACTTCCTGTTAGGGAAATGGATAAAGGCGGCAACAAATCTAGCTTTAAGACCTGAGGAAAGGAGGCTGTATGAATTCAATGCCAGGAACCAGATCACCCTTTGGGGACCTACAGGCAATGTAAGCACATGTATTTCAATATGATGATAGTTTTACTACAATGCTGTATGACCTGATGGAAGTGTACAATAAAGTCAGGTTATACTATTGTGTGAAGTTCTTATGTCTAGTTGAAATTAGGTGTATAAATCAAAGATACGAGTATGTTAAGAAAAACAGGAATATTAATGACTTTAAAAATGGAGCTTAATGATTTAGTAAAAGAAATTGCATCAATGTTGTACTTTTAAGTGTCTTTAACTGTACATGCATGTTGTAGGAAGTGAAAGGTCATTGTCATATTTACTTGATGGTTTTGAAATCCTGTGTTATTTTGTTACAATATGTGTGTCCTATTGATTGATATTCCAGCATTTAGACTACGCAAGCAAACAGTGGGCTGGACTTATACATAGGTAAGTATAATGTTAAAAAGTGTAACAAGTCAGAAATGTTCGCTGATAACTATGTACATAATATGTACTTTGATAAGGACAATATAGTCAGGATGAATGTATTAAGATGAGTCTGCATTTACTTCAAGTGAAATTGATTTGAATTGACTTTCACAAGAAAATGATGTGACAGTCATCTATATGTGTTCACCTAACTTTCTCATGGAAACAGCTTTCATCTTTTCAAGGTCATCACCTGAATAAGTTGGGTGGTCGGTTGGCGCAGTGGATAGCGCACTTGCCTTTCACCAAAAGTCCTTTTGATGGCAGTTTTTCCCTGAAGTTCCAATATATTTCAGTTGATTAATTTGTTAACAGGATCCACTAGTCTGGTTACTAAGGAGTGTAATAAATAAAAAGAAGAAAAGGCAAAAACAAGATCAACTGGAATATAAACAGCAAGTATGCTTCAATGTTAACATGTTTCAGCCCATTATAGGTGGGCCGTCATCACAATGTTCTTGGAGTGGCCCATCTTCTTGTGGGAAGAAACATATTGACGTTGCATTAAGTTTCTGATTAAATCCTAGTTGATGTTGTCCTGGTCCTCTCTCCTATTTATGAGTTAAGGTAATGCTACATATCGTAAAAATATTTTTCAGAATCATCCCTACACACAGTTCTTTTGTAGCAAACTTTGTATACTGAACAAAAAAAGAAACGCACAATTAAATTATGCAATCAATAGCCTATGATATTTTGGGAAATTTGTACAAAATTTTATATCAATATATGAAGGGACAAGTCTACTCTTTACAATACTGTAGAAGAAAAGTCTGTGTGACGTCACTCGTGTCATCAGTAGTTACTCAAAGTGGGATACCCGTGAAAAACAAATTGACACTTCAGTACCTGGTGTGGGCACCTTTTGCAAGAATCCCTGCACGGATTCTCCTATGCATTGAATTCACGAGAACATTTATTCGCCTTAAGGGAATGTTGTTCCATTCTTGTGTTAATGCTGCGATCAACTGGGCGCGGTTAGATGTTTTTTTTGATGTTTCCTAATACGCCTGTCCAGCTCATCCCACAGATGCTCAATGGGAGACATGTCGGGGCTATATGGGGGCCATTCCATAGGCTGAACGTTGTTTGCCGTGAGAAAATCACAAAAGACTCTGGCAACATGCGGTCGAGCATTGTCTTGCTGGAAAATTAGGTTATGACGTCAGAGAAGTGGAAGGACATGTGGCTGGAGGATCTGGTCTCTGTATCGAACGGCATTGAGGTTTTGATCCAGGACCACTAAGGGGGGTTTTACTCAATGATAGATGCCTCCCCAAACCATTACAGAAGCCCAACCGAATCTATCGCGTTCAACCACGCATTCGTCGGCGAAACGCTCACCGCGTCTGCGATATACCCTTTTTCTTCCGTCTGAGCGATACAGACAGAATCTAGACTCTTCAGTGAACATCACATGCCTCCATCGACGCATCCCAAACCTATTCGGGCCATGTCTGCGCATCCAGTCAAGACGCACTTGCTGCCTCCGTGGTGTCAGAGGTGGCCCGACATAAGGTCGGCGCGCAATGATTCTCTCGGCACGCAAGCGGTTCCTGGCAGTTTGAGGACTAATGGGTCTGGCATGCGACGCAGTCTCTACAGCAGTCTTGAATCTGTTGCGCAAGGTCGACAATCGAATCGCCCTGTCTTGTCGTGCGGTCGTTACACCGTTACACGCGGACGACCGCTCCTGGGACGATCGGAAACTAACCCAGTAGCAAGGAAACGTGTACAGAGGCGGTTAATTGTACACGGGCTATGACCATCCATCAACATCGCAATTGCTCTACCCCTCTGAATTTGCGTTAAGCGTGGCATCTCAGTCAATGGCGAAATCAAAATGCCAACATGGAAAATTAATGTGGCTGAACTTAGAGTATCCGTTGAGATTATTTGTTTGAAAAACTCCGGCTTGGCTTGATTACGCCGCGTGATTTGGACTAAAGAAGCTCACAAAGTTACACAATGACATTGTAACGCTTGGCTGATTTTAGGGTAGATGGTTGAGAAGGGAGATCGTTCTTGATGTAATACCTGACCAAATATTCCATTATTTCCTTACCGCTAAGGTTTACTGCAAAGGGGGGGGGGGGGGGGGGGGGGGGACTTTGTCGTTTCTTTTTTTGTTCAGTATATTACGCTTTACATCAATATAATTATATCTTGTCATTTTACCAGAAAAGCAAAAGCAAATATCTGGTTATGAGTCATTTATGTGATAGTCAGTGTTGATATCAAAATAATAAAAAAACAATAACTCAGTGAATATATTCTCAAATTTACTGCTTAAAATCTGTTCTTATTTACTTATATGGATACAAATTTCTTTTTATATATCTACCACCAGCTACTACAGACCGAGGTGGAAAGTTTTTGTGGAGGACCTCACCTGAAGTACAGTTTACAATCAGTAAGTTGAATTACATGATGTTCATTATATGAGAACAATTCCATGTAAATTGATGATGTGATACCCATACATTAGTTAAAGACTTAATAACACTACAGGGTCATGTACTTTATAACACTACAGTGTCATATGCTTTATAACACTACAAGGTCATGTACTTTATAACACAACAGGGTCATGTACTTTATAACACAACAGGGTCATGTACTTTATAACACTACAGGGTCATGTACTTTATAACACTACAGGGTCATGTACCTTATAACACAACAGGGTCATGTACTATTCAACAAATCTTTTCAGCAAAAACATTTTTTCAGCTCATAGTTGAGGGCATTTATTTAAATACCAGGGGATTTTAGAAAAAAATCTGCTTTTTATATAGGGTTTAATATCCATGAAATAATTTCTTGGCAAAAGACAAAATATGGTTTCGTTTTGAGGAAGAGTTATCACTACCAGGTCAATGGAGCATGCTTTTGGTGCTTTTATCAGTTTTCCGTTTATTCAAATATTAAAATCTTGTTATACATGAATTACGACAATTTAGTCAGTACACATTTAGCATTAAAAGGAGAAATCTACTAATGGAATTGTTTAAAAATAGAAAAAGAAAAAGGTAACCTTTAAGTGTGTAGGCAGTAAGCAAAGTGGTAAACAGAACTGGAGGCATTATTTCAAGGTTTTACTGTACATGTACTATTGACAGTTGAACAGGGTTAACCAAAATGCAATTATTTTTATATGTTATATGTTATTTTTTCAGGCGACAACATTTAACCAAAGTTACTTTAATATTAAAGTTTTCAACACAAAAGACCTTCCCAACAGTTCCATCCGGTAAGATTTCTGGATCGGGAAACTTGAAATGTTTGAAGCAAGTGTACTCTAAATACATCAGAAAATTGTAATTTTGATTTGACTTTTTTCTAGAATTTAACCGAGTTTAGATTCATTCTCAAAGCTGTGTTTTTTTTAAGAAAACCTCTTCAGTGGAATAATTTAAAAAAAAAGGAATTTTAACATGTTAGGGATTCAAAATATTCTTTACAAAATGCGAAAGGCCTATGATACAAAAAATATGCATTTGGAATGTGATCCTACCTGTTAAAGTTCTCAGCAACAAACCTTAGTTGTTCCTGTGCTAAAACGTTGTATCCGATACCTTGATAATTGACTTGAGTCTACTATAACATACAATTTTATATTGTGATTCAGAATCATAGTGTTTCTTGCCGCAGCTAATTTGGTGTAATAATCTCGAAAAGTTCATCCTCAACTAAATAAGTGACTGAAGTTAAGATTTTAAGAAACTGTTCAGAATTATTTTCTCACTAAACTTCAAATCCTTTTTGACATTGTTTTCATTAATAACTACATACATTGACATTAATATAATTAATTATACATGAGTACACGATATATGTTGTATTGAAGTATGTAGTATTGGGCTTTTCCGGACAGATGCTCATCACTGTTTTTGATCAAAGGGCTGACAAAATAGAATGCCTGATCAATTTGTCTTTTCAATGTATTTTGATCTAAAGTTAATTTATGTGATACTTAAATTTTGTTTGATTATTAACAAATTAATTATTTCTTTATACATTCTGATTTGACCCTCGAAAGTAACAATTTACCTGTAATCTCCACTAGAGTCGTGATTTTGTTACCTAAAATTTGTAGCAAATATAAATGTGAAGGTGTTATTCATTTCATTTTGTTTTCAGGAAACACCATTTTGATAGTAAAACAGATTCACAAAAGATATCGCCAAGAAAACTTCTACGATTTTCTACGTGAGGAAGGATGATAAGGAAACAAATGTCTCGATGGTTTGGCTCTTATTCCAAATATTAAGAGAAAGAACTCTGCGTGAAATATAAAGTGACATTTGCCCTTTGTGTTTAAGTACAGTATTTCTTATGATATAGCCAAAACAAGTCAAAATATATGCAAAGTGTATAATGTCAGTCATAGTAACATATTTTGTTGTGCATAAATACATTATTATATAGGCATTGCAAGTTTTGTTTACTATTCATTTTGTAGTTTAAGAGTCAAGAAGAGGTCAATTTGTCAGGGTATTATAAAATGAGTACTTTTTAACGCAACTTGTAGATAACTTTTTAAAATAAAACTCATAGACGCATGGCATTTATGGTTTAAGTATTCTTTTCATTATGGAGAAAATGACGTCTATTGTGTATCCATGATCAGTCAACACTGTCCTTTAAAAGCTGACACCTCCTGAGTGGTTAATCTGATTTTAAAGGTGGCTCAAAACATAAATAGGCATCCCAATGTTAAGGTCACATTGAGGTCAAAGTTCAAATACATTGCCATAACTTCTGATTAGCTGTAAATAGTTCAATAAAAAAAATCCATCATTTTTTCTTATTGACTTTCTTGTTTTCACGATTTCTACAAATCTTCAAAAAGAGAACAAGCTCTTATATCAGCACGTACAATGTAAAAATGATAAAAAAATGCAATATATTTATCCCTTTACTTACAAAATATTTTCATTTTTGATCTTTTCCTTGGGATCTTTTGTTAAGATAATTTAATGTTTCAGGGCTATGCATCTGCTACTATAGGTTTCGAAGGATATTTCCGAGGCAAATAGTTCTCATCTCCATGGCAATTAGACATCCCTGAAGTTAAGGAAACATCATTGTCTATCGCTTATAAAGAACTATATCCCATCGTAGTGGCAGCTATCTTGTGGGGGAGTCAATGGGCGAAACAACAGATAGTTTTCTGGTGCGATAATGAAGCTACGGTAGCTATTGTGAATAAAGGACGTTCAAAATGCCTTTACATCATGGAGCTTATGTGGAAATTGACCTGGTGTGCTTGTATACATAACTTTAATTTCCGAAGTAAACATGTTCCAGGGAAATGTAACTCTATTAGTGATTCTCTTTCTCGTCTACAGATACAACGGTTCAGAAACCTGGCACCACAAGCGGATCCCAAGCCCCACCAGTACCTGCCGTACTCCGAAGTCATCTGGAGTTAAACTCTACAGTTAAGAACTTTTTGTCAGGGGCCATAGCATCAAGTACACGTACAGCCTATCATACTGGGTATGAGCACTTCGAGAAGTTCATGGCACTTCATAACATCCTATGCGACCCTACAACAGGCCTCCCACCCATCTCAGAGGATATTCTTATCTACTTCGTGACACACTGCTTTAAATTCTTAAACCTTCAACATTCCACTATTAAACTATACCTCAACGGTATCCGCTTTAAGTACCTTCAGCAGAATGTTCCGTCTCCTTCGGCCAGCCTAGAATCTAAACCCATTCCTCGCTTGGCCCTTATCCTCAAGTCCATCAAACGATCAAGGATCAAACACTACAACTCGCCTACCTGTTACAGGAGATATTCTCCACAAGATGTGTGCTTTTTTGAGGCGTGGTGTGTTCTCTCCATTCACTGATGTCATGTTAGAATGTGCGTGTACTTTAGCCTACTTTGGCTTCCTGCGTTGTCGAGAATTTACTGTTAAAACTAGTGCTGCGTTTGACCCATCCAGACACCTGTGCGTAGGATATATCACAACTTACGACAACATGTGTACGTTAACCCTGAAAGAATCTAAAACCAACCCTTTCCGCAAAGGCATTACAATTCAACTCCACAGAATGCCGCAAGACTTGTGCCCGGTGAAGATCTTGAAGGAATATCTTGCACTATGACAGTGGAAATCCCGATCTGTTCTACCATCACAACCGCTGTTCATCACAGACAGTAATACTGCTTTGAACAGAGCACAGTTTATTCTGTATTGTAGACAAGTGCTAGACAGTTGTGGATAAGACCCGCACAAGTACAATGGACATTCTTTTCGGATAGGTGCATGCTGCCACTAGTGCAGGTGCAGCAGGTGTGGAAGACCACCTTATAAAGACATTAGGGAGGTGGAGCTCCGACTGTTACTGTCGATATGTCAGAACTCAAAGTTTTAGTATCGCGAAAGCACAGAGACAGCTACTGATCCATGATCCAGCATCCTAGTGATCGTTACGGTAATCACTACTTGCTAGATAAGTTAATTTTAGTGGTACTTACCACAGGCCTCCTTCAAGACATTCTCTTAACAGTGTCTAAATGTACGCTATATATAAGACACTTAAGTACATGACGTGTGTGCTGAATCGAGAATATGTTATATACTGTATGTACGTGATAGGCGAGATCCTGTTTAAGAGTATCATGAATGTATCTAGTTATATGTATATCTATACTACAATGTATGCTTAAATATTGTAACTAATACACTGGTGTTCAGGCTTACTGCTATGTAGGTACACTGCTGTACGAAGTATTGAACTAGCTATAGTATATATACTATATGTGTCACTCGATACATTTTTCTACATCTACTGACTTTTGTGTTATACCTGACATATATTACAATCCTGTGGTCACTATCGCCACCTCTTAACCAAACAACCTATATACAATTACACATCTACTAATTGTATATATCCATCTTTTATTATGTACCTTGGGGATCAAATTCAGCTGCTTCACTCTATGAACTTTTCGCACCAAAATTTTCTTTGGGACTCACACTTCAAATTTTTTAACCCCTTTTATTAAAAGGGAAAAAATCCTTGGGTTTGCCAAGGTCATGATATTCATTCTAAAACATGTAATAGAATTCAAGTTTTAAATTAGTGTATCAGTACATTATACTCTACTATCAATCAACCTCTATGGTAACCACACTGGTTACAGATGGCACCACTCAACCTTGTTAGATATAGAACATCCCTGTTCTCCTACACTAGAACATCCCTGTTCTAGGCAGTGGTGCCATCCCCTTATTTCGTAGAACATCCCTGTTCTAGTCGGTTGATGGTGGAAGGTCTGTTTCATAGTAATTTTATAAGTCTTTTTACTATCATGGACAGACCTACTCTACTCTAAAAGTCCATATAGAAGCAGCTGAGAAATAATTCCCTAGGGCCAAAATTATTTTGTAACATTTGTGTTATTATGTCATGATTATTTTGTTACACCTGTTGAATGTACAATAGTTAGTTGGTATTCTTGATCTATGTTTTTGATATTCGTTTTAAGAATCATGTTGGTTCTTATATACCATACTTCATAGAGGATACATTTAATGTTTTAAGTTCTTCTTGTTTATCTGATCCCTATAATAAATGTTCATAACTTTATATCCTTCATATCTGAGTTGTATTATCCTTTCTGTAGTAACTTGGTCTAACTTGGAGCTGCATTTTTAGCTACAAACTTGTACACAAGATATAAATGCCTGTTTAATACCAATTCAGTAGTTCGATGGATAGAATACGTATTATCGATATACTTTACAAACAAAATAACCTAGTGCCAGGGATTATATTTGATACATATATAGGGATTGAATGGATTTTTTTTCCATATTCATATATTTACGTTACGATGAACAACAATAAAAAAGTTGTAACACTTTTTGTAAATTTAATATTTTTGATATCAGTATCGGACAGAAAACCATCAAAAAGGAACAGCCAGAACTCCAACCTTCACACAAACTTCAAAGGTTCGACTTGCGCCGATCAGCTGATTTGTTAAAACGAAAAAACACACTATAATCTCATCATAAACAACGCTTGGTATTTCCTTTCATTTTTGAAAGTTGATCTTATATCATTTCACTTGAAGAGTTTTTTTGGAGTTTCCTCTTGTTGTAGCCAATGTTGCCATTTTAATAATTTTGTCCTTATCTAGAATGTCAATCCGATACAAGATTTTGTAAGTTTGTATAACATCTCCTCTCAATTGTCGATACTCTAGACTGGGGAGGCCCAACATACAAAGTCTCTCACTGTATAATTTTCCTTTTAGGAACGGTAGGTGTCTTGTTGCCCTGCGTTGGACATTTTCAATGGCTATTTGATCTTTTTTGAGCATTGGAGACCGTATGCAGGTGGCATATTCCAGGTGTGGCCGCACTAAACTTTTGTACAATTGAATAAACATGTCTTTGTTTATGAATGTAAATGACCGAAATGTTAGTCCGAGGATTCTGTTGGCTTTAGAGACACACTCGTTGACATGGTCAGTAAAATTTAGTTTATGGTCAAATGTAACTCCCAAATCCTTTTCTTTAATCACTTTGTCAATGGTTACTTCGATATGTCCATTTTTTTGTAGTATAAGCCGAGTCATAGGCACTTGACGCGTTGTTATGTCAGATTTTTTTTTTTATATAAGTATACCTTTTTTTTTTCAAAATTATTATCTGAGAATTATCTGAATAAAAAAAAGGAAATGACAATTAATGACAATTATTATTTTTTGTTTGTAATGTACATGCAGTCGATATATATTAAATACATAAAATCTGGTAAAACGCACATTTAGAGAGAGTAAATACATTAAATTGTTGAGCGTTCAAAATCTATTTATATTTTGATATACTCAAGACCAATGTTTTTATACATACCTGTATGTAAATCCTATCCCCCGAACCCATCAAGACATAAAACGAATACAAGCAAATTCCAACACACCTTTGTGCATGCAGTATCTACATTGTATACAGTTTCAGTGTAGAATCTAACAATCAAATGTGCAGTTTCGATGAGTTGCACTAGACGAATGTAGCCTGCATACATACAGCGTAAAACACAAATGGTAAAAACTTCATAGTACGCTATTAAAATGTTTACGGTCCGGTGCTTTAAAAACTGTTTTGCAAAATCATGTAACAGTAAGTGTCGTTGTCGCAATGATTATTGTAAAAATTGTAGGTTATTGCGCTCAGCGTTTCATTAAAGTTTTTTCTTACTTTCCAAAATTTCTAGGAGACTTTGTCGTTCAAATAAGCTTTCAATTGCATCATTATTTGTTAATATTGTCCATGAATTAGGAATGTCAGCCTCTTTTACTCGGTAGTGTTCAGCAATGTCTTTATTGTATTTGCACAGCACCCACGCCCAATACATGGATGAGGATATATCGACGCAGGGATCAATTTTCCAGTCTGGGGCGTACTTTTCATAGTCCCTGTAGGGATGAGACTCATCAGTTGTCCCATCTATTGTGCATTTGTCTGATTCGCGCTTACAAAGCCTACCACTACCACATGTAAATCTCGTTTTTGTCTGCACATTAAAAGAACAGCTCTCTATAACAAGACATCTGCTTTCTTTGCTTCGCCAACCGTTTACCCCTAAAGCTCTGTGCTGTATACATTCGTGCGGTGAACCATCATGAATGCGATCTATTTTGCACGGCTCGTTACAAAACGGACATGTTCCTTTGCATCCCCATATTTTTTTCATTGCTTTGTCATAAGGTGTTTCGCCATCCCATCTAACAGTGTTTTCGTCAAGTCGAAATATCTCTTTGATTCTCTCACATGTTCTAATTAATTGTTCCCCAAGAGTTTGTTTGAAGCTGTCAATATCAACGATGGCTTGTTCCTGTACCAGAGACATATTTTCCAACTTCACTGGCAGTGTATCCTGTAATGTATATATGACTTGTTTTAACCAAAGCTCCAAGGACGATGCTTGGCACTCGGAAGCGATGGTTGTCACTTGATTAATTAATTTGTTTACTATCTCAGAGACTTTATCAATATATTTAGAATTCGTATTGCTACCAAACCACCGTTCATTCATTGATATTTTCAAAAATTCAAATGAAGATGTGTAAGGATCTTCTATGTAATGAATTATCGATTGAAATATCTCTTCCTGTGCAAGGCGTTTCATGATATGTTTCATCAACTCCTGTTTACAGACATCAAAATATTCTACGATATCCTCGTATATAATCCTAGGAATTTCACGCCTAACATGTTGTTCCACATGTTCTAAAATAACTTCACAAAACCTATTTCTTGCAATTTCTTCAACTGATGCCTTTGTAACAATATCTCGGAAATGTCCCAATATTTGCGATTTTACCCTTTTCATCTTTGCCTGTATGCCATGATGGGCTCGGTAATCTGAGTCGAGCTTTTGAAAAATTGGTATCGCATGTCTAAATATGTGCACTGTCAGTTTAATTGTGTAAGGTGCAAGTAGACTAAATTTTGTTGAAGGATCTGAGTTGATTCTCTCAACACGTTCTTCGATGCGATTTCCAATATCTTTGGCTTTTGTGTCATTGTATTTCCATTTTGTTTCCGACAAATCGTTTAAAAGTACTTTTATTTCTCGTAATATACTATTTGTAATATCTATGACATTCGGTAGATAATGTGTTTTATTGGTAAGTGTGAACATACGTTTGACGCTAATACATTTTTGGATATTGCCAAAGAATGAATTATCTATTTTCCATGGATACTGTAAATAGCCAGAAGTAGGAAGTTCAACCATCGCTAACTTATGTTCTGGTAGGCAACCAATACAAAGAAAGCTTAACTCTTTTGTTACCAAATCTAATTTATTTGGAAAACAAAATTGTTTAAGAATATGAATTAAGCTTTTCTCTATATCTGGCGGTCGTTCCCTTTTCTCATTAAGATTATCAAACCATGTGGACCACATACACCCAAATTTCGATTCTATTTCCGTTTTTGTGGGCATTTTTTCTTTCATTTGTCTGGCTAGTCTATTGGCCTTTTCTGTTATTTCTGTTCTGCGCTTTTCGAATAATTGATCGTTTTCCCTATCGACTCGGCAGTGATCCCGATTATCTTTAAGTTCGTCTGTAAGTTTGGTTCTGACCAATGCGACTTCCTGTTGCCAGGAACATAATTTCCCATCTTTCCATTTCGCAATTATTTCAGCATGTTCATTTTCTTTAAAATATTTTTGTATCTCTGCAGTACAAATACTTTTCCTTTCATCGAATAAACGTTCTTTTTCATCCAGTACATTCTGTATGTCGTTGATAGAAGTGCATTTCTGTATGTCATTAAAAGAGTCGGCAATCAAAGTACTGGCGAAGCATTCAAGATCCCATTCATGGCGTTGTATTTTTTTATAAAGTGCGTTGTATGCTTTTATTTCTAGACTGTTTTTAAAGAAAAACACAAAATCATTCGCTAATATACCAGTCCAAAGAGCATCCAGATGCTCAAACGTTTCTGTCAAGGATCGGTAAGTATACTTAGATTTGTCTTTTTCTTTGGCTAGTTTGTCGAACATGGCACTCCTTACTTTTTCAACATCCGAGTGATATCCTGGATTGGCAGGAGCCATAGGAGGTTCCCCTTCCCATATGTCTGAGAAATACCAAATATCGTTCTCGCTGTCAAATTCAATAACGTCATTGAAACACTTTACATGGTTGTCATTTTCTTCTTTTGCCGCCTCATGGGTCATTTTATCTAAAATGTTATTAAATTTCTCACGTTCACTTCTCAAGGACTCCTGTGCATCGACTGCAGGTACATTTTGATGTATGCAGATGCAGGACTGTCTTAGTTTAAGTTTTTCATTGGCTATTTGTAATCTTAAGAATGCATGAACACAAATTTGTAGGATATCTCTAACCTCACTGGTGTTTTCACCCTTTATGTTGATAATTGCTATGTCTGCGATTCCAATAACGAATGTTGCTAACTCATTATCATGCTGGTAATCGTTGTCACTTCCCTGAATTGAACGGAGGCCTTCTGTGTCAACAACCAATACATAATCAAAAGGTAAATTATGACTTTTGACGGGCAACAGTTGCATATAGATTCCTCGAGTACATCGTCCTGCACTAACCGCTAACGATATGCCAAACATGGCATTCAGTAAAGTAGACTTTCCTGAGCTTTGGAGCCCGATAACTGATACAGTAAGCACCTTTGTATCTCCTATTGATTCCTTTAGTTCATTAAATATATGCTTTATCCATGGTATTGGAACATTAGCGGCATCGCCGTCCATAAGTTCAAATGGGTAACCAAGTAAAATGGCTTTTACCATTGCTTTAGCAATCTCCGATCTAAATACTAAGTCTTGATTTGATAGGTAAATCTGCCCTAACTCGCGAAAAATGTGTTCAACTCCGAACATTGCGTTACTAGACGTTCGGACTATAACGTCGGATCCGGTAGGTAGTCCGATTGCATTATTGGGGTGAATTTTCTCGCATGTTTTTTCATCGAAATAAAATTTCAACCAGTCGATGAAAAAGATTAACTCTTCGATTTTCGATTCTATCATGTGCTTTATGAATAATTCCATGAATTTATTGCCCTGTTTGTATGTATCATATTGCCGGTGTTTCAATTCTACAAGTTCTTTCTGCATTTCGTCTTTTTCCTGAAGAGACAAGTGGTTAGCTTTTTTGTATGTTTTAAAGTTTTTAGAATACGTCAACCAAAGGTCAGACTGTAATGGTATGATTGTATTTTTAATGGATGGCGAATCGTTGAATATATCTGTTAAACATTTTGCATTTTCCATGCCCGTTGTGCACGTCTTTTCTTTCTCGTCGACACAAATATGTTTTTTTCCTGCTGTTTCAGAAATCTGTGCTAGTGTACGAGACTCTGTATCCTTTAACAACAACACTATCTCATCTAAAACATATTCTCTTACGTCTGTTATACTTAACGGGTTTCCGTCAGTTGTAACCTGAAATATTGAAATTATTTTTTTTCGTAGTTTTTTTTCGAAGTACTTGCACAGCTGCTTTTTGAATTCTTCAGTAATGTTTTCTGTCACCATGAATATCAGATTGGAACTAGAACCTTCTAACAGTTGAAGAACTCTCTCATCGTCCAATTTAGTGTTATCAATCACTACTATAAGAACATGAGAAATAGATTTCAAATACGAAAGTTGTTCTTTGTTAGTAAACCCATCGCCTCTTAGATTAAGGAAAAGTGTGACTTCTTTCAACTTTGAAGGTATTTTTGTAGAAGGTAGGAACCACGAAGCTTCAATAAGACCACGAGTAGCGTGTTTCTCGCTTGATCCCATAGAACATTCGCTATTGTAAAATGTTTGGTGACCCCCTGTTTTTCTCAGTATTGCATTTGCAATTTTCGATTTGGATATTGGTGGACGATCAAGTCTTACGAACGCAACTATTTTTTGCTTACAATTAACAATACTTGTTAAAGAAGTACCATCGTGTACTGTGATTGTTCGAAATGGCCACAGAGAAAACCAAAGTGCACCGTTTAACTTAAACTTATGATAAATAAGGGGAATGGCTAATCGGCAAGTAAACATTTTAGCCACTAATTTCTGTTGCAATGATGGGTGTAAACATACAAATATGGCTAGAAAAACATCTATTGGATTATCTTGTTTTTGTGACGTTATTGGTATAGATGTATGTATTTCAGTTGGAAAGGAACAATCTGAACTATCCGAATCTGACTCATTTTGTTTTAACGATTTCAAAAGCTGTTTAGCCATATGATTGCTACACATAGATAAAACATTTTCTCTTGCTGCATAATCAAGCATCATAATGTTGCGTAGGAGTAATCTTGGTACATCCTTAGAGGTTTTTGCCGTACTGCCGTCATTTTCCTTGATGTACATGATGTCGTGAAACATCAATGGTTCTGATAAACAACTTTGTAGTCCGTAATTGTTGATAAGCCGTAATTGATGACCTGGAATTAAATGTAACCTGACATATAGTCCAGTCATTCTACCAGAACAATGACACAAAAATCAACCTCAGTGCATCAAAATGTATGTTTTCTTTTTCATCATTACTGATATCTACATTATAACACAAAACGGTCACCAACATCAACATTGGATAATTATATTTTATGGTCAGGAAAATGATGGAAATTAAAGTTCAATTTGTTGTGTAATATTTAGTGCGGGAAATAAGAACTTTGGCGAAATGGGTATTTAGAAGAAAATTATTCGAATCATTGCATTGAAAAAACTTAAACTATAGGTACGGATTAAAACATTTTTCGATTGGAATATTTCACGACATATTAAAGTTGGAAATGTACTGTATATAAGTATAGTTGCCATATTGGTTTATGACTAATTGAGTTGCATTTTCATCTCGAAATATTGATATTGTGCGTTTAAGGGATGGATTCAATCCAGAATACTACGTTGCAACGAGTAACAATATGCGCAGCAAATGAAAACTATTGCGTCTCCGGTGGATGTTTCTCTTGCCGAAATTCAATCTCCCTGACTGGACACTGACAAACATGGCCATCTATATGCCTTATATTATTTCGTGTGTCTTAACACATATTAATGCATGTAAAAAATATATTTGTTTTTTGTTCAACTTGTGCAACTTTATCTATTTTAAATAAAGTATACCTTGTATTTCTTGGTGATAAGTTGACTGGGACGTTGACGTCTCCTGAAAATATCGATAATACTATGTAGAATTGGTCTATGTATTTCGTTTGTTTTCAGAAAAGCCAAAACATTTGACATTAAGACGTAAACTGAATTGCAAATACAAAATATAATATGCTGTAATTTGTAAGCGCTGCTCTGAATTTTATATAGGTCAAACTGAAAATGAACTACCTCAATGAAAGGTAGTCCATCGCCAACGACCCCGGTTAACGAAATTTGTTGAAATTTATTATATAACATACATTTTCATGAGAGTTCCAAAGAGAACATATTCATTGAAATTCTAAAATCGGGTACTTACGCAGGAAATTCCGAGCAAATCTTATCAGTTTAAAATAACAAATTCCGTATGTTTGATATGTTCCGATGAAGCCGGAATTTTGCTTTGAGATTAAGTTTTATTTACTATCATGTCGTTTTAACGTTTGCTCTTGAATATTGTATTCTTTTGCGTATATCTATCCCGTTGCTTTTTTTTCGGTATTGTCGCAGTAAATGTAGTACATTTATTGTAATTATTTAAGACGTCAAATTTATAGATGTCCTCTGTATGCTATGTTTATGTCGTCATTTTTACGTCTTAATTATTTGGAACTTTATATACGTCACGAAAAGAACGCAATTAGTACGAGATGATCGCAACATACGTTTCTAATCTCGTTAACTTATCACATAATATGCTTCTTTTAAAGAGATACTTTGTTAACACAATGTTTTCATTGCAATTTCTAAACTGTTTTGCTCCCTTTGTGCATTTTATCATGAGTATGTATGGAAAAGATTTTAGTGCGTTACAGACGGTGTGACTATTACCTGAACCATGGCAGACGTCACATCAGGCGCTGGCTCGTTATCATCTGGAGTTTCTGCAGCTGTTTGAAAGAACAATCGAAATGCAGTAAGTACCTGTAAGTATACTGAAAGGAAGATACAAGGGCGTCGTTGTGCATTTTATTCATAGATGAAAATACATATGAATATGTAAAGATGGTTTTCAGCTGATTCTACATAATAATTGACTATATGAATGAAATAAACAACGATTGTTATCTTTAGTATCAAACTAGTTCTGAAATTTCTGAACACTTAACGCAATCTACTCAATGTCGTTACACTTAGAGCGTTTGTAATGCCATTTTCTTCCCTTTTATTACTTATGTGAGCTATTGTTGCACCCAAGATCATTATAAGTGTAGTCATAAAAAGATACATTGTTGCTATTTGTATATTCAAATGACTTCACGACGTTAACAACGCCCGAGGTTTGTATGCAACGATCAACAACTTTCACTTTCCGCGCCGCATTATGTTATCGGCCATTATGATAACGATGGCGGGTGGATATATTTCTAAAACAAAATTTTAACCAAATTGCTGAAAGATCAAGAGACATTGATAATATATATTACGTCCTGGAACAGTGGACATTAACATTATTTCTCCCAATTGCACGCCATTAATCATAATTAACACTTAAAGTAATTTGATTGTGTCACCATTTCTCAGTAGAATTTCTTCAAATTGTGTAGTTATATTGCTTTGAAGTAAAGAAAATTTTCTGCCACCAAAAAAGTACAGGTTGTCAGAATTTCAACTACGGATGTACTTCCTATTTCCGTTTATCAATACACACCTATGACCTTAAACACATGCATAAATGCCACTGTATTTAAAATAAGACTAATGAAGTAAGGCTTATTTTCTTTCACAGGATATTCAAATTTTGTAAAAAATCTTAACATTACACAGAAAAATCGTTTCATTAAAAATAGTATCGGCAAAATATTCAAAAGAACGTGTGTTACTATTTCGTCATTTCTAAAGCTTGTTCAACACTTTTTGTCATTTCTTAAGTGCGTTTAATGTGTGTATCAAGTTAATGTCCTGAGAATTGTAGATTATGGGGTGCACGGGCAAGATTTACTGTGGAATTGTTAATTACTCTCGTGACGAACACATGACAAACTGGGTACGTAATATAAGTACTGGTGTAAATAGCCAATTAGTGACTATAACATCTGACACGGTGATCAAGATGACAGCAAATGCATGACCAGCAGATATGAACATAACCATTTATCTACATATTAATGATTTTGATATATAATAATGCTGAGATGCAACATCAACTTGCATAAGTATTTATTGTATTACGTTATAATGTTATTACTAACTTACAAGTTGTACATGTATTATGGTGTTAAAGTACCTGTAGTTGCATGAAGTTGGCTGCGAAGCTTGACAAAAATGCCAAACTATATGCCTGATATTATTACATGTGTCTTAACACTTATTAATGCATTTAGAAAATATATTTGTATTTTGTTCAACGTGTACACCTTTATATATTTGAAATATAGTATACCTTTCATTTTTTGGTAATAAGTTGATTGGAACGATGGCGTGTCCTGAAATGATCGACAATAATATGCAGATAAAGGCCATGCAATTCGTTTGTTTTTGACATTTAGATGTAATATGAATTGCAAATAAAAATGGAATATATGCTTTAATTTGTATTCGTAATTTAACATAGGTCAGACTAGAAATGATATTTTCCTGAGAGTTCAAATGATCAGTTTATTGTTCTATCGATTTATCAAATGAATGCATCATATATTATTAAAGAGAATTAAAAGAATTAAGTGCATTTTATCACGAGTCTGTATGTAAAAGATATTTGTGCGTACGTTGTAGACGGTGGGAAATTACCTGAACCATGGCAGAAGTCTCATCAGGCGCTGGTTCGTTATCATCTGGGGTTTCTGCAGCTGTTTGAAAGAACAATCGAAGTGTTAGCTGCTAGTATATTGAAAGGAAGATACTAGGGTGTCGTGGTGCATTGTATTCAAATATGAAATATGACTGAATATTTAAAGATGGTTTTCAACTTATTTCACATAATGATTCACTATATAAATGTTATAAACATCCATTGTTCTCTTTAGTATCAAACTAGTTCTGAATTTTTGGAAAAAAGTGTTCGTGTTTACTTAATGTAAGGAATTTTACTAGATTTGATGGATGCATGTTTATCTTGTTTTGAGCTGTGGTTGGTTTGTCATTTCGTATTGACATTGTGCTATATACTTTCGTTTTTTCCTTTTAGTTTCAAACCCACAAACGACGCAAAGCGCTGCATCGGTTTGTTGATCTGTGAAACCTTCAACGACATCCATAAAAACGCTTTCTGTGATTTATGCTGCATACTATCTACAAAAATATAATGTTCAAGTTCATTTATTTATTTAAGCTTTACAGCTCATCAGTTGTGCATGTATACAGTGCAAAATAAAGTAAACAAATAAACAACAACACACATACACACCACTTCTGCCCCTTCTCCTAGAAGTGAAGAGAGATATCATGCACTGCTAAAATAATTTAATTAATAATAGAATAACATTTGATGCTACGAATACATTAATGTGTTATTGACAAGCACTACATATAATTGAGTAAAATCAATACATTTTGACGTCTTCTTTTAGCAATTCTTTCATATTTGGGCAAATTAGCTATTTCTTTTTTATTTTCTGTGGACAACAACTTAATAAATTTATCCATTCTTGAATGTCTGATATAGAAAGGTTTAATAAACGGATTACTTAAATCGGAATAAAATGGATATTCAAGAACAAAATGAAATTCGTCTTCTACATCATTAGAGGCACATGACGAACAAACCATGTTTCTGTGTTCAATACCTTGGTATCTACCAGATTCTATGTTAAGTTTATGAGAAGATGTTCTAATCCTTACTAACTCTTTTAAGTATTGAATATTAATAGACTTTTTTAAGTAACTTTGTAAACCGAAATCATCACAGAGATATTTGTATAGATTATACTAAGAAGAAGTGTTAATTATTTCTTAACATTCCTGTTTGAAAATATCCATGATCATTTCTTTAAAAATTGCCACTAAATCATCTTGTATGTCTTTTAGTTCCCAAAAATACCCCAATCCAGTCCTAAACAATTCATTCTTATACCCATAAGCAAATGATCCTCGCAATCAGACATTTCTTCATAGCATGCCTGTAGTATACAATCATCTGTATTTCGCAATTGTATCCAATACGTTAACATTCTTAACTTACGACTAATTTCCATCTGATATGTTCCTTATTCAAAATATATCATACAATTTGAAGTGGTTTTACGAACACAAAGTAGATTCTTACAGAAATTTAAATGTTACTTTTCTATATCTGCTGCCTTATGACTTCCCCATATTTCGAACCCATAGTATAAAATGCTAGCGACATGTGTATCGAATACCGACAGTATTGTTTAAAAATTACATTCTGTAAAATAAATGTTTCTGACACACTTTTGTAACAGCAAATAATGCTTTACTACCTTGTTCTGATACTTTGTGTTGCATTTTATCCAAAAGTGTATTATCACATTAAATATTTGTAAAAATTGAAACAGGTATACATTCTTTTTGTACGTAAGTCATGTACTAATTACAAAATTATTTACCTTAAAGCGTGCAGTTAAAATGTATGTTCTCGCCTTGGGACAATTATGAAGTTAAAATGACACAACCTGCGAGAATGTTCTGAACCATAAAATTAATGCCATTAATATTCGAAGAATGAATTCAAGTGTGCAGCATCCGTTCCTTCGTGGTTGTTGGACTGTCAGTAAGTGAGTTGCATCTACAGGTCTGCTGTCCCGCAGTTTTGCTGCATTTTCTTGATAGTGCTATTGCCTATATCCGTGATCATTTCTTTAAAAATTGCCACTAAATCATCTTGTATGTCTTTTAGTTCCCAAAATACCCCAATCCAGCCCTAAACAATTCATTCTTATACCCATAAGCAAATGATCCTCGCAATCAGACATTTCTTCATAGCATGCCTGTAGTATGCAATCATCTGTATTTCGCAATTGTATCCAATACGTTAACATTCTTAACTTACGACTAATTTCCATCTGATATGTTCCTTATTCAAAATATATCATACAATTTGAATGATATGTAAGTGTTTGCATACCTGATTTTTTAGGGGATTTTGTTGACTTGGATACTTTTTTGTCCTGAAATTTAAATAAATGTATCCATCAGTCTTATTTTCTTGTACATACACATGTTCACATAACGACATTATTAATAAGAACAAAAAAACAACAGCAAAACAACAAGATATTGTATCATGAACAGATCAAATGAACTGCTTTTCTCGAACCTTTATAAGTCCACACAATATCAGTTGCTTTGTATCCCGAAGCTACCTTGCAATAATTGGTATTTCAATCTTAAATATTTAAGTGATAGTGTTTGGATCAATCAGGTAATGAAAACATAAAGCCTGTTTCTTGATTGGGAACAAATATAGACATTACCAGACCTGGACACTTACTGTATTAACGATAATATCTAAAAACATATAGACATTACCAGACCGGGACATTTACTGTATTATCGATTATATCTAAACTATATAGACATTACCAGACCGGAACATTTACTGTATTAACGATTATATCTAAAATGATATTGCTAAAAACCAAAATGCACTCCGAACTGAAGTTATAATACTTTCTGATTTCTCGTGTTCAAGAAACCCTATTCATTACGTTTACTGTTCACTTGTTGCAATTTTTCCTTCACACATCATGCCTCAAACCCATATTGTGAAATTATTATTTACAATAGAATATGATTATCAGTACCGCAATGTTAGCGATATTAACGGTATTTTGGAAAAATCTGTAATCAGAACTCACAACAGAAATTGTTACTTATCGTAGCTCGAGTTGCGTCCCTTCGATCGTGAATAATAATCAGCTTATGCGCATGGACCCGCGTTGAAAAAGGAACCGGGGTAAGTTTTCAACTTTAAAAATTGAACCGGGAAGCCGTTGAAAAGGAACCTAACGCAAATTTATTTTTACATACACGTTGAAAATGGACCCCCGTTGAAAAGTGAACCATATGAGAAATTGATATATTGATTTAAAATATCCACTTAGATTATACTTAATGACGTCCTGCGACTTATTTCCAGAAATTAACCCAGAATGGATGTCTGACCTAATAAGGTCAATGTGAACTACTTTTGGAAATTTGACCTACATTATGAAATGTTGTCGTCGGGTTAAGAAATAAACATTAAACTGTAGTTTGACCAAATTGGATCACTGTGGTCTTATTTTCAAAATTTGACCTACATCATCAAAAAAGGTCATAGGGGTCAGATAATGATATTTAACAACTTTTTGACAGAATAAGGTCACTGTGACCCAATTTTCTAAATTTGACCTACATTATCAAACGTTTTCATAGGGTTCAGAAATTAACATTCAACAGTTGTTTGACAAAATTAGATATCCATGACCTAATTTTGAAAGTTTGACCTTCAATATCCAAAATAGTAATCAGAAAAAGAGATTGCAAAAAACCCGTTATTTTGACCAAATTATTTGAGCTATATTTAAAGACATTGTCACTGGGTGCAGAGCTTTACATATATTTTTCCAAGCCAGGTAAATGAGCGCTACTTTTTTTCTAGTTTTACCTCAACTTTATAAATTGTTACAGGCTTCAGAAATTATACTAAAACCTACTTTTCAGAATTAGACGTACACTATTTAAAAATGTCTTTCGGTTCAGAAATTAGCATCAACGAAAAAAATGATGTTAACCAAATTACGTCCCTGTGACATACTTTTCAAAATTCAAACTATATACATGTAATACAACATGTATATATTTTTTTAAAACAGTCAACGGGTTACAAAACAAACATTCAACTGTTTTGACATAAGAATGTCATTGTGACCTACTTTTCATACTTTCTTTTCAATTAAATACTGGTTAAAATGACCTTAGTCCATATTGAACATGAATAATAACCCAAAAATATTTCGACAATTTTCTATATTGAATGTGTTAATATGCCTGGGTCCTTATTCCACGTTGAAAATTGACCCCAGGAAATCATGAAACCTTTTAACATTCAACTGTCAAAAAATGACCGGGGTCCATATTCAACGCTGAAAATGGACCCCTAAAACTTGTTACAGTTTTCCATATTCAATAGTCAAAAAGTGACATAGGTACTTATTCAACGTTGATAATGGATCCCAGAAATATTTTGCCATGTTTATATGTTCAATTGTCGAGAATGGTCGTGGGTCGATATTCAACGCTGAATATGGACTCCAGAACATTATGACACCCTTTTGTATATAATTGTTAAAGCAAATGACTAGGGTCCATATAATTCGTAAAGCAAATGACCAGAGTCGCTATTCAACGTTAAAAATGAACCTCTGATGTTTATTACAGTTTTCCATTTTCAATTGTCAAAAAAGGACAAAGGTCCTTATTCAACGTTGAAAATTGATCCCAGAAACATTATGTCGTTTATACATTCTATTGTCGAAAATGGTTGTGGGTCGATATTTAAACTTAAAAATGGACCGTAGATCTTTATGTAATTGTTTCATATTGAAATGTCAAACAAGAAACCAAAGTGGGATCTTTGCTCCCACCATCGTTAGATCTTCCTTAATTCTATCTAAGCTTGAACTTTTTAATCTCGTATCTGGTAGATTGATAATGTTGTCAACATCTTGATGAGTCCCAAAATGAAACATGTATTAAATGGATAACATATAGTCCCAGGGTTAAATTCAACTTCAAAAGCAGACCAACGAACATTATTACACCAGGGGCGTAGCTATAGCCCTTATTCAGAGTGGATTAATTTAGGAGCGGATCCATTGCAGGGCCTTTGTAGGGGGACAAGGGAGTGCAAAATCATTGTTTTGGGGGCTTTTCTGTTTGAAATTTGGTGTGTGAAAAAAAGTATATCACATAAAATGTGATAAAATGTAACTATCACATAAAATGTGATAAAATGTAACTATCACATAAAATGTGATACTGACAGACATGAAATCTCGTTCAGAGATTGTGATACTATGACGTCACAAGCACGTCACACTCCATCGGCTTTCATCAGTTATTTCCGGAAGGATGAAAAATAACCAGAAAATCTTGAAACTGATGTCCGTTGCAGATATCTCTTTGTCGGTGCTGCATGACTTTTTTAATTGAGTTTTTGCCACAGGCACACAAAGCAAACATGCGGATATTTTCTGGAGATCCTTTTTGTCATCAACAAGGTTCTGTCAAAAAGAGCAGGCATTAAACCAATAAGTCAACGTGTACATTAATGTTATCATCATCTAAAATTTCCTCAGCTTTTGATTTCCATTTGTTGAGAATATGAACGAAAAATGTAACAAGTCTGGTTATAGTCTTTACATAATTTATTTATGCATCACCACTCATAAAAGAAACAATGGATAATGTATTTATGTCTAATCAGCAATAATTTTCCAGACAACCAACCCGCGTTCAACGCCCTTTTTCAGCAACGTATTACTTTTTCACAACGCATGCCAATTTATAACTAGTTACAGACAGAAACTGTTTAATTTTATTTAGCATAATTACATGTCAAACCTCGGTGACAGTTACGCAATTTGAAATTCAATCAGGTGTTTCAGAATGGAACAGTAATTGAGACTACATATCGATATAACGACGATCTCAGTTACATCAAAGTATTACAATGTTTATTTTTTATTTTTTGACTAACATCTCTTTACATTTACTTAGACTAATTGTCAAATATGTAATATGCACTTTTTTCCATAGTAATTACCAAACATTTTTTTCCAAAACTTATCTTAATCATTCTTTTTGTGTCCTGACGGAAGCACGCAGAGGATCTAATTCTTAATGTGGGAGGAAGCTGGAGGATCTGGAGAAAACCCGCGTGGTCGGGCAAGTGACTGGGACTGAATCCGGCGATCTTGGTGAAGACGAGCGCGCTATCCACTGCGCCAGCGACCCATCATATACGTTTCGCACAAGAACAAATATCTACATTAGCTTTGACTGTAAGAAAATGGCGTCATTGATGCAAAAATTATATTGTGCAAACATTTTTACCAATCATTAATGATACAAAAAAAATCTACATACGGGAGACCGGGGTAAGTTCGGTCATCCCTGTTTAGTTGGCTGGGCATTCACACGAAAAAACGGCGAGGAAAACTCTAATGTTAAATTACTAAACAGGAGAAAATCACTTTTGAGAGGGTAGAAAGAAAATCGTGATCTCGCTTCTTACTATGTAAACTTCCTGTAAACGGAATTGCTACTTTTTTACGGTCAAACGTGTAGCACACTGACAGCTTCAAATGATATACATGTATTTAAAAGCCAAGCCAAGCACTCACTACCATATTGCTGTACGATAAGAATTTATTGAAATATCAATTTGGGTCCGGACAGGTTCGGCCAATGATACCGTTGCAATTTCGGCCAATGTAACACATAAAAAGTCGTAAAATTGGCGGTAAAATCTGACGTTGCATGCTTGATGACGTCATAATTAAACTGATTCCAATGGGGCCGAACTTACCCGAATGCCTGTTCGAACTTATCCCATGGCGGCGCTCGTTTGGCTATCCGATCTTCCGACAGAGAAAATTAAATAATGTTCAAAAACGGACGTGCTGCCATACTTCCCAGAACGGACTTTAATAAAAATGGGTCAAACTTGCCCCGATCTCCCCTATTGTTATGTCGGTCTTAATCTCATTAGAGCTTATGTTTTATTGTTAGTCTTCGATTAGCCGACTTTAAATTAAGTTTATCTTATCTCATTCCGAAAGCAGTATTCTTAATAAGTAATTATTAGAGATCAACAAAAGCTACGTCTTTATATATTCAACAGTAGCAAATGGTCCCGAGTTCATGTTCAACGTTGCAAATTGACCCAGAACATTGTAATACCTTTCAATAATCAATTGTGAAAAATGGCCCTGGGTCAATATTCAACGTTGAAATTGGAATATTGAGCCGGGCATTCTTTGAACAATATTTAAATGCAAACATAAGACGAAGTGCAATTATTGCCCTAATGGACAATTCAAAAAAGGTAATATGAGAACTACAAGTACGTAACCTTTTCAGAGAGTTACACTACTGTGTCAAGCTAAAAATGTAACTGGAC